TTGGAAAGAGGTACTGCCTCCAAAGTGGCATCCTTTGCTTTAGTAACAACTGTTTGAGAGCCCACCTTCAGTCCCTGCAGAGCACTGGAAAATCTGTGGAGGAAGTGTTTGCAGTGACAGTGTGGCTGGACTATCAACACTGTTTACTTCATCTACTGTATGTGTGATGAGAGAGAGAGCTGAATAGGGAATGTGGAGTAAAGCAATGCTGAGAATGGGCCGTGCCTTGGGAGATGAGTCATTTTAATCAGACACAATGTATGGAGGGAAGAAAGAGGGAACAAGTGAGCGGGAAATGGAAGGAGAGAGAAATCAACATCAGTGGATATCATTGTGTTTTGCATGTACTAGGCTTTTTAACTAGCCTAACCAGTCCTTAGTCAACTAGCTTTGTTTGAAAACCAACTTCAAGCCAACCAGTGGCTATACTGATCAACCAACACCAAACCAGCCTAGACCAATATGGAAATTCATGTAAGAGATGCTCTTTCCAAATGGGTGGAGGAGGAGGATGAGTGAGAATTACAGATCAAGGAGGAAAGAATGAACAAAAAATGGAGGTTATGACAGAGTTGAAGGAGAGATGAGTGGAAAGATGAAACATAAGGGTGTGGTGGCAGACGAGCAGACTAAACTTCATGAGGTCAAAGGGGAAACCCTGTAGAGCAGCCAGTTTTCAGCATGTGTGCATATAAACATCTGTCAGTTAAAACTGAGATGCCAGGATATGATCCCTGAGCTGCATAATCATATCTGACAGGGAAAACGCTTCAGGTTAAATAAATTAAGTATAGCGCTTAGCTGCTGATGGAGCCAGTTTGGTGTCCAGTGGAAAGATACTGAGCTGTTACTACCTCGGGATCAACACAGATCAAATAAATAGCCTTCCCAAAGTGTCTATACCACAATATGCGTGAAGGCTGAGAGCTTATGATACATACAACACTATAACATTGCACGCACCCATAATAAGAGCTGTTATTAAATGTTATTCTCATCGGAATTATCAAATGTTAAAATGTTAAAAAGTCTGTTTCACTCCACCCTGCCCAGCGTCTGTAAGTCTCGACAACATAATTAAACGATCTGTCCACTTCACAAAGAGTTTGTTGTAACACCTTCCAGTATGGCATTGCGTGACAATTTTGTCTTACAAAGCTAATGCGAGAATCAGAGGTGGCTGTGTTTAAGCATGTTAATGGATACATCATTTTATGACTTGTTTATTAAAGAAGTGCTTGTGTTTATTAGGGATAACAATTGCGATTGTATTGGATCCCCAACAGAACTCCATAGTCCCAATTTTGTCCTTAATTCAACTGCCTGGCCAAGAGACAAAAACAATAATCGCTAGAAAATAGGGATGCACCGATACCACTTTTTCCAGTACCCGCCCGATACCGATACTTTTATTTTTGGTACTTGCCGATACCGAGTACCGATACCAATATTTTTATTGCATTTGTACATTTTTTAAATATTGGGTACAGAAACCAAAAGAGTATGTATAATGTTAGTTGGTTAACTTAATTTATCAAATAGATAGTCAAACCTAAATTTATTCTGACACCTTCAACATTTCTCACATTATCACAGTTTATTCGCTATAGTTTAGAAAATGGTAATAAAATATGACAAGAACTCAGAGTTAAACTGTGTCAGAACAAATTCAGTTTGATAATGTCAGATAACTTTGATAGAAAGGTATGTAATAGATTACAATCAACCAAAA